CTGTTCTCCATAATCCGGATCCCAGAATACATTATCCACAATGCCGTGACTTTCCGGGTATAAACCAGTGAGGATGCTCTGATGATTGGGCCATGTAGAGGTAGTCGTAACATTTTTGATGTAGTCGGCTCTGACTCCAGTTTGAGCGATGAAGTTCAAATTGGTAGTTTTGGAAAGTTGACCCCTCAAAACTCGCCGATCCATTCCATCCAGTGATACCAGTATTAGTGGAGGTTGGTCATCCTTTACTTCTGCCGCCGCATGCGTTAGTTGGAACAAGACCCGCAGAAGAAACAAGAAGAACATGTTTACTGTTTATTTTATATTTTCCACACACTGACGGGTAATATAGCTGTATTCAGACTTGCACAGCATGTGCTCATATAGTTAAAAACTGGTTAAATACAGAAAGAATGTGAAAGTGCACAGGATATCTCTGATTGTTTTGTATGTCGAGTTAAACTGTTGAATTTTTAGATAGCATGCAGTTTTCCATTGTTAGCCAAAGATTATCAAGCGCCGAACTGTTATGGTTGAGCTAATCGAGGTAAAGCTCTTTTAGAGTTGGCACATTGCTGCACAAAACAGAGTTATATGGATAGAGAATTTCGTATTGCCTTATGTCTTACAAGGGATAAAGAGGATAGATTGTGTGCACGTGCACCAACTATAGGCAAAAGCCAATAACACACCATAACCCTAATGGGACAAGGGTGATCAATTTTGGAGACTAACTTAGATAGGTGCAAAAGTTGATTTCCACAATTCTTTGCAACTACTCAAACATAACAGTTTTTCCTCGATGTTTTGCACTGCATGGAGCGGGACGAAACGATTATTTCCAAGCATTTTTCTTTTTATTACAATAAGCATTAAGGAATCAGACGAATTTGGTATGTTTGAGGTGTTTAACCGTAGGGTGCACGGCACTTTTCAATCATAACACAGTAAAATAAAGGCCATGTCTACCTGACTTAAAAAAATATTGTACAAAAATGAAAACTGATATTAGTGAAGAATGTTTGCTCCGATCCTTTAGGGCAAATATAAATAACCCACGTCTTGGAAATTGCTGCAAAGTATTGGAATAAGTCAAAGGCTTAATAAAAATATTCAAGACAGGATGATCAAAATAAATTGGGCCCCTTCAAAACAAACCATGTACATCGATTAAGAACAGACATAGACAAAAACAGACTGTACGTTGTTTTAAGGGATCCATACCGTTAACGAGGTGGAGGTTCACAGCCATTTCAGACAACGGCTAATATCAAACCTACCTTGAGAACAAAAGGCGCGTAGCGTTCAGTAAACGTTTATTTACCATTATCTTCTTAAGTTAAGTATTATATGAAAAAAATCAACTGAAGTCCCAGTAAAGAACCGAAAGTGACAATGACCAGGCGAGCTGTAAGAAGTTTGTTTCAAAATTTCTTTAAAGATATTTACTTGCTGACCCTTTGATATGATCAAACAACACAGATCAATTCAACACAGACCAATTCAACACAAGGAATATATTTGATGGTGACGCTATTCGAGATGAACACAACAATGGACGCAAATTTATATCTTCCCTCGTTTATGTTAGTTTTGAGTTTACATGGTACTTCTTTCACCAAATGTCCGCCGTCTGAGTACAGTGCCCCGAATGGGAGCACTGTTCTCAGACAGTTCTGAAAACTTAGAACAAAAAGTTTGTATGGCAGTCAAAGCATGGCAGAGCTTCCCTAACAAGCTTATTAACAATAGGGAAGCTCTTCATTCCTTCATCTCTCTGGTCATCATCACCTCTAACTAAAAAACGTTTAACAAGTTACAATTAATTAATAATAGCCCTATTCTCAATAAAATACAGCTAAAATACTAACACAATAATTCTGCATAATAATGTCATAATAATGCACTTTTAGCTTTCTATCCTAACATGCACCAATAACATTGACTGTCAGACAATGCTCCCCTGTAGTACACACTTCAATATATCTGAGTTGTTAAACGGTTCATAATGAGTCAATTAGAAAGTTCCCTAATCATTAAGACTCTTCTCAATTTTTAACCACACTATTACATGCTTTTAGTTTACATCATCCTTTCTATAATAAGCTCCCTCTCAAAGTAGGTGTGCCTAACTGCAACACATACAATTGAGAACTAAATTTTGATTCCCTAACATCAAATATTTCCTTAGGATATCATAAATGTAAAGTGGGACTCTAATGTTTGACCCTTTCACTACTAAGATCTCATTAGTAATTCTCCTTACTGTCTGCCATACAGTTCTGGTGATGTTTGTTTGGAGAATTTGGTATTGGATCAACTTATATTCCCTTAGTTTCTATTTTTCTTTATTCTCATCTGTTGTCTGCTTGATATAGTATTAATATTGTAGGAGAAATTCTGTCTTGGTCACTTGTGGGAGTTAAAACAGACCCTATACAGCACTAACCCATAAACTACATATAGTAATCATTATTTTACAAATGGTGACATTTAAACTTTACCATCTTTAATCTACTATAAACACGATAAGCTGCACCCTTGATTTTGGGCTTCAATTTTTTGAAAAAAAGTGCGGCTTATACATGGACGTTTACGGTAACCTTCTGTGGCATTTTCTCACCTCCACTATTAATCAACCGACGCCAACTCGCCGACGTATAAAATCGAGTAGAGACGTCGGCGAGTTGGTCCTCAATCCAATACAACTTATTAGAAGTTAAACATACAGAAAATTAAATGATATTTAGTAAAAAAAAAACACTGGTGAACATTGGTGAACATCAAACAGAAGCTTGAACATTGGTGAACATCACCAATGACTATAATAACTTAAGACGCAAACGAGTTATTGTGCGACAACAACACCGTAAAGACTCATCATGTCAATCGCTCAGATTTTTTAAAGAAAACTTGGCTTTCTAGATCTTTAGTAAAAAGTAATTCTTTCTATTTGCAACAAAGTTTATAAAGATATCAAGGCGAATAAAGCGAAGTAAACATAGCCAATGACTATATCCGCTTCAGACGCGAACGAGATAATTATTGTGTGACAACAACACCGTTTGTGCGTTGACTTTTTACCAAGCGACTTGACTTAAATAAATAAGACCGATTGACATGAGATCCTGCGCCCCCCTCAGTTCCGCATCCGTACCAGCAATCAAGGAATATATTTGATGGTGACGCTATTCGAGATGAAAACAGCAATGGACGCAAATTTATTACTTCCCTTGCTTATGTTAGTTTTGAGTTTACATGGTACTTCTTTCACCAAATCTGTCTCTACTAAACATTGGTGTTATAGTCATTGGCGATGTTCACCAATGTTCGCCAATGTTTAAGCTTCTGTCTGATGTTCACCAATGTTCACCAGTGTTTTTTTACTAAATATCGTTTACTTTTCTGTATGTTTAACTTCTAATAAGTTGTATGGATTGAGGACCAACTCGCCGACGTCTCTACTCGATTTTATACGTCGGCGAGTTGGCGTCGGCGAGTTGACCGTAATTCAAAATACCAGGGTGCCCATGGTCCCAATAATAACCACAGAGAAGAAATTTGCCAATATCTTGCTTCCTAAAATCAAGAAGACACAAAACCCAGTTAAAGCCATACCAATGTTGCACAGTCCACCCTTTCCAACTCCCTGCAGAAGTACTCCTAAAAACAATTCTTCTGCTTGTGCTACCCTAAGGGGCACAATATACATATAATCTTAACCATGGACCATTAGCCCTACACTGTAAGTAATAAAAATATTACAACTTGCTACATGTACATGACTGCCAAACTCAGGTCACAAAATTGGCAACTTCAGTCAACAAAATGTTTCCCTCTAGCCATGGTGAGGAAAACAGATGCAGCCTGGTGTGCAGACCCAAGAGATTCTTAGAAATGAATTATTGGTTTTATTTCTATATGGGAGGTATGGCGTCAGAATGGAAGGAGGACTTACCAGTATTTGACATTCAACAAAAGAACTTATAGACTTTAAAAGACACCAACACTGCATCTTTATCATTAATTTCCTACTTGTAAAACAGTCTCTTTTTCACTAATTACATTTTGCCAAAAATATCTATATTAGGAACTAGAGGAATCATTCAAATTCCTGCCCCCTTGGGGTCAGAATTGTGTTTATATGACCCCTCCAAGTGCTGGATTTGATTGTCCCTTTTTTTTCTTTATATAAGGCAAAATTTGCAGCAGCAACTTTCTTATAGACCTTTCCCCCTACGCCATCTGCTAGCGAAAGTGAACTAATAACCTTTAAACACCTCTAAATTAAAAGAAGAAATGCATTTATTATGCTGGAAAGACTTGACAGTATGAGTGCAAATTCCCAACCCCACCCATGGAAGGTTCAAATTCCCTACCCCTGGGTATGGAGGACAGTCACATGCCCGTGGGTTACCAGGAAGAGGGGGGGAAGGGGGTGTTACAGTTTTGAATTGATCAGCGCATTATTTTGACAAAAAATTTAGGGAAACTGTGGCAACTACAGGAGTTTTTCAGTTGTCTGTTGAACTTCAAAGAGATGGCTAACCTGTTGATGGTGTAGTTGGTATAGGTTTAAAAAGGCTCAAGCATCTACAAAAAAACAAAGAAAAAAGAAAAAGAATTATCAAAAAGTTACTGATTAAAATGACAAAAATATGAAGATTTTCCCAGTGGGTGGACATGAGAGTTAGTACCCACTTCATACACCACTCAACCAGTTGAGAAAAAGACGCTTTGATCCATAACTTGTAGCCCTCACTGCTCTGCTAATGATGCCATACTGTGACAGATATCACTTAAATTTAATTTAGTATTCATGACTCAAAATCTGATGCATAATCATTTTGACACTGTTTATTACAAGTAGATGGTGCCCCACTGATAGGTAGTACTCATTTTTTGTCTAATTGTTCAACGATGAATGACAGAATTCAGGAAATCAAATACTCTGAATCCGTGGAACAAATAAATGTTTAAAAAATAAAACAAACTTTCCTTTAAAAATTTTATTGGCTATGTAACTTCGTTAAAAAGAAAAATTTCTTACTCAGCTTGTGATCTTGTCTCTAATACAGCAGGGAAAAAATAGAGAACAAACAAATTAATTCTCACAAACCTCTTAAAAATAACATAACTTGACAATTCATGCATACTAAAACATGCAAACTGTTTTGAAAATATATTTAATTCAGACAAAAGACCTTACACTGAAAGTGTTAGAAACATTTAGTGAACCCATATAAGTTAAATAAACAAACTCTTTTATAAGGAAATATCTCTTTTAACAAAGAGCTGCAATAAAAATTCCATAAAAGATGAAGAGGGAAGACATGTAAACAGCCATAATGAAACAGTTGACAGTGATTCGTCACCTACTTATGATAAAAACATGTACAGAGCTGACACTCGAAAATTACTGACAACCTTGGGAAGACTCAACTAACAGATGATATTTCACAATGCACTCTGCATTTAAAAATAAAAACAAAATTGAAAAATTAAATGTTACCATAAAAGACATCTAATTCATGAATCAATGTTTCAACAATTTATTTCTTCTTGGTGCTGGTCCTACCATGGCAAACATGATCACAGTTATCCCACAGTACATGGAGGCACTTAGAGACTCCAAAGTCAACAATGCTTGGCTTAGTGTATCTTTATTTAGGGTTCAGCCCTTTAATCCTTTTACACAATAACATCAGAATGCATATTCTCTGTACTGTTTTCTATTTATTTCCTACGGTGCTGACAAGGAGAATTTGTTTAACAATCAAGAGCTCCATTGGTTGGTGATAATTTTTTTTACTCTTGTGACCTTAATGTGTGACTCAGGGGTGATACTGTGAGGAGAAATTAGATGCTAGTCACTCTTAGGGGTTAAAGGATTAATCCCTACATTGTACAAGTAACTAACATCTGGTTTCTCATGATTACAGTATCTCCACTGAATCAAACACTAAAGTCCTGAGAAGAAAGGAAATGATCAC